CATGGACTTCCGTTCAATCACCACCAGAGGTCACCCTTTCATTACATTGACTCTCGCACAACACAAACTGTTGCATATCACCCCTGACTACATATCCCATCATTCATTGCACTGATTGCACACAGCTGTTTCACTGATTGCACACAGCACTGATTGCACAGCTGTTTCATATCACTCACTCACTATATAACACTCACTCAAACAACCATTCTCTGCCGAGTATTGCTTAGCCTGTTATTATTCTTAGTTTCTGTTATCCTGCCCATGTTTCCTTGTTTTGCCTTGCCTTGCCTTGCCTTGCCTTGTCTGTTTTCTCGGTGCGTTATGCAAATCTTCCCACATCGTGACGTAGATATGTGGGGGTGTGTTAGAACGAGCTTTTATAAAGAATATCTCTTTGGATTTGAGACTTTAGTATTTGCAACTTTACAGATCTTTATGCACCAAGAGCTTGTAACACTCCAAAGAGAAAGTAAAAATTGAAATCGCATCATATGACCCCTTTAAATGATGGAGAAAAGTTCATAGTAGGGTCATAGTAGGATCTTTGTAATCTATTTTACTTGGCATGTCTGAGTAAAGTTATTACATTTTTGAATTTTTTCGAATAACCTACATTGATAAATCGTGCACAATAAGCCCAGGAACATGTACGAAGAAAGTGAATAGGGTGGTTTTTGCGTCGACTTTAATGAAGGGTCTAATCACTGCTGCCCAGTGGCTAATTTTCTGAGCCAGTGATTGATTCGAGAATAACGGACCATTTTTCAAAGTAATTTTGAAAGTTTCTGTCAGTTGCTTGCTGAGCTAGTGCTCTTGGTTTTGCTACCGCTGCTCTTATTACTGGCCTCCAGAGGGCCACGCTATATGATTCGCAGCTGAAATATTCAGCATTACAGAGAAAAGCTGCTGACTGGCAATCAGGCCTGGAGAACTCTACTTCTAATAAGGGATGCCATTACCCAAGGTGTCTGATGTCTGTTCAAGAAAATAATTAGTTTGCAGCTGCAAAACTCAATAAATCTGAAGATTAAAAAAAATTAAATGTAGTTACTGTGTGTAAAGCTGCATATGTGGAGAAAGTGCTTTGTAGTAAAACCCCTGAAGAAAAGCTGTCGATGATGTTGCAGTGGTGAAACATTTGCAGCTCTGTTGTCCTCTTCAAAGCTTTGCTTATCTTAGTTTAAAGACATCAACGTTAACTTTATATTATTTATATACTTATACTTTCCTGGTTTTACTGTGCACATTATTCTAAAGTTAAGAAAAAAAGTCTTCATAACATTTCATCAAACAATATTAATGTTCCAGATGGGATGACTTCTTCCAAACAGACAAAGCAGTCTGACTCATCCACTCTTGAATCAGTGCTTCTCATCTGGTTTATTTTATGTATTTATTTTTTTTAATTAAAAATAAAATTGTAATAAAACAACAACAACAACAACAAAAAACACTTTATTTTTGGTTGTTTACTATTTTATTTTAGCCACTGTTTTGGTTTAGTTTTGTTTACATTTTTTGTGTTGTTACGTTTGAGGTTTTTTTTTAGTTAATTTTTTTTTTATATGTTTTATGATTTAATGTTGCCCTGCACATTGACATGTGGGGGAATAAAATTAGATATTGTGAATTATGGAACAAACTAGTACAAAATGACCATGATTTAATTAAAACAATGGAGCAAATTAGTATGAAGTGGCTTTACTTGAATTCAGGGTCGGCTCCAGAGGGCACAAAGTGAGGGGGCATGCACAATATTTGGGAGGGCCGCGCCTTTTGGCACCTGTTTCTGAATATTGATTGATTTTAATTATCTAGACTACTAGTGTAGATATGTATTTAAAGTAATTTTCAGATGTAATGGATGCAATGAATAAAACAGGAAAAACACAAACAAAACTTGTAAATAAAATAATTTTATATATACAATGTAATAACATATATATATAAGAATAAGAATAATAACACAATAAGAATTTTTAACCATTAATCGCCTTCTTTCGTTTGGTGCACGTTTAAAAAAAACACACTAAACATAAATGTGAAAATTTGAAAAATAAACACACTAAACATAAATGTGAAAATTTGAAAAATAAACACACTAAACATAAATGTGAAAATTTGAAAAATAAACACACTAAACATAAATACGTTTTTGAGAGGAAAAATAAAACAGATATTATATTCAGAATACTGGCAGGCCTAAAGTGTAATGTTATAATGTAATTATAATAATAATTTATGCATTTAGCAGACGCTTTTATCCAAAGCAACTTACAGTGCATTCAGGCTATACATTTTTACCAGTATGTGTGTTCCCTGGGAATCGAACCCACGACCTTTTACGCTGCTAACGCAGTGCTCTACCACTGAGCCACAGGAACATAATGTACCAACATCATAAACACTAAGCTATAAATAGCCAAAACAAATTAATTTAAAGCGAAACAAAGTAAATTTGGGCTCATAGCCCACCTCTCTCATTCAGCACAAATCCAAATGTTTCCATATTCCAAATGTATTAACTATTATAAGCTAAAGTATTATTTATTAGGTAAAATAAGATTTGTACTTCACGCATGTTCCAATATGAATGGGAAAAAAATCATAATGAGCATAAATGTGACACACTGGACTGGCTCTCGGGCATGCAAGTGCAGCTCCTATTTCTTTGAATGGGGAAACATCAAATTTGCTTATGATTAAATTTCATATTTGATATCACCAATGAACCTGACAACAGCAGTCTCATAAATGTTGTTTCTTTTGCTCAAATAGCATTAAAAAAGCGTAATTTTTCAGGCTAGACCAGCCAGTGCGTATGCGCAGTCCAGAGCACACGTCTCCGAACGCTGACTGTTTCTATACTGACCGGGACTTCTAACGGCAGCTGCAGTGACGCGAGGACTTTACCGACTTTAGCAATTGGCTCTTTTATTCAGAAGGCGGGGCTTCGTTCAATAGAGTGGCCATATTGAGCGTTGCATTTTTCCCCCATTCAAAACTGTATGAGTGACACGTCTTGGATATTCTATAGTCTTTGTTAACAGCCTACATCCACCCACTCCCCTTCTCGTATATCAGAGTGGGAGATCTTCCCAAAATCTTCCTAAAATCAGGGCACCCACTCCAGAGATGGCAACAGAAGTTTGGGGGCCCCCTGAGGCCCCATGGCACCGACGCTGCTTGAATTAAAACTAAGGAACAAATTAGTACAACATGGCCATGATTAATCTGAAACCAGAGAACAAATTAGTACAACACTCCCTTGATTTATCTAAAACCAGGGAGTGAATTAGTACAAATGAATTAGTACAACTTGGCCACGATTTAACTAAAACTTGGGAGGGAGTCAGTACTAAAACTAGGGAGTGAATGTGTCAGCACTGCATCCTGCTGAAAAATAAAAATCTTCCTCTCTGCTTTCTCTAAAGCAGTTTTGGGGGTTAACTCAAAACACCAGTGAAACACCAGTAGCAGACTAATATTAACTGTAAATATTTTGTAAAAGCCTAAATAAATAAACCAGCTTTCATGCATACAAGAAATATCAAACAGTAGTAGTTCTTGACAGGTTTTTGCATTCCCTATGCTGCTTTTCCATTGTTTTTTAATGTAAATGCGCTCAACATTTATTTTATGTAAATGCGCTTGACGGACATGTTTGACCAGGTGCGGCGTCATGCGGTCAGATCACTTTTTTTCTTCTTTTAACTGTTAACATTGGCATAGTGTCAACGTTTCTAATTGTAATGTTTGCTAATATTTTTTATTTAAAACCGTGATTCCTCGATTTAAAACTAAATAAATAAAATCATGGCAAAACATTACATTCTAATGAATCGATAAAATCAGAAAAACCGCCCAGCCATACCAAAAAATGATAAGTCGTCAGTGCGAATTCTTAAGTCATGGCCACAATACCTACATTTCCTATGGCATGCCAAAGAAAAGGCTCTGTAGAAGTTGTTTTTGACATAGTTGTAGTTTCAGTAAAGAAAATAACCCTGCTTTTCTTGATCCAATATAAGTCCCACCTTACTTTTTTTCTTGTGAAATCTGTAATTTATCTCCTAAAAACACATTACAGAAGTACAGTTGTGTTGTGAATGCAGTTTCATGTCGATTAAGTAGGGTAAATAAGATTCTCCTTTCTTCTCTTTCATTGACTGTCTCTCTTTCTCTAACGCAGGCTGATAGAGAGCGGTCAGCTCGAGGTGGCTACAGGAGGCTGGGTGATGCCTGACGAAGCCAGCTCTCACTACTTTGCATTGATAGATCAGTTAGTTGAAGGTCACCAGTGGTTGGAGATAAATTTGGGTATGTAAATCTATTGCATCTCGCCCTTTTACTTCCCACTTTTCATTAATTCAGTTACTTTAACAACAGTTAACAACAAAGTGGATGATATCTCCACATCAAAACTAACAGTCCTGGAAACAGCAAAAATATGTCAAGTATGCTTCATAACTGCATAATATATATATATAATATACCAGCGTAAAAAAAAAAATGGTGTGGAAAAATAGATGAATGCAACTTTGTTTCCAGGCGGGCTGATACGGAATTTATGTAAAGCCTGCCATTAGATTAGAACCTGCTAGATCGAGAAAGAAGTTTCCAGTTCGAAGCGACTGTGGGCGGTCCTAGGTTGAACTGGGTAATAATATCTTGTTTGAGACCCATTTAAATTCTGAATCAGCCTCAGCTCAAAATGTGGGTTGTGAAACTCAGAATGTTAAACCTCTTAAGGAATTTTAGCTCTTCTACATATTTATGCTTCCTATATTGGCTCAAAGACCTCTGGGAGATTTTTTTTCAATGTTCATTATTAGTGTATTAAAACATGGAGCAAAGCCCTGGCTCTCATTACTGCACATCCACTCTACCATCTGCTCTCGTGATATCTCAGCTGTCTGTGGACCGGTTCTCAAATATAGATTGATTGGAGAGACTGATACTACAGTGAGCCTTTGGCTTTCAAACTGCACTTGTTTTACCAATGATGCCATGCACCCCGTGTTATTTGAAGAGAACTGTGTGCTACTGTGTTCAGGTTTGCTCATGAATATAGACACGGGTCTCTTCAGGGTACATGTGCCCTTCAAGATTACCTGTGTCTCCTGTGTTTCACTCTGTTCCACGAGTTCCTCGCTTTACTTTCAGAGCTGTTGTAAATGCTTTGCTGAATCCATTCCTAGTGTTTCTTTATCCACACTAAAAATGTGACCTTGCTGTTTCTAAAAATGTGACTAGGGATGGGTGCTATAGCTAAAGAATTCTATATATAGTATCTCACAAAATACAATTCTCTCATACTGACCACTGGATGTTCAACATGGCACCTCATGGCAAAGAACTCTCTGAGGATTTGAGAATTAGAATTGTTGCTCTCCACAAAGATGGCCTAGGCTATAAGAAGATCTGTAACACCCTTAAACTGAGTTGCAGTACAGTGACCAGGGTCATACAGAGGTTTTCTAAGACGAGTTTCACTCGGAACAGGCCTCACAAGGGTTGATCAAAGAAGTTGAGTCCTCGTGCTGTGCGTCAGGTACAGAAGCTGGCTTCAAAAAACAGATGCATGAGTGCTGTCAGCATTGCTTTAGAGGTTGCAGAAGCGGGAGGTCAGCTTGTCAGTGCTCAAACCATATGCCGCACACTGCAACAAGTCGGTTTGCATGGCCGTCGTCCCAGAAGGAAGCCTCTTCTAAAGCTGGCTCACAAGAAAGCCCGCAAACAGTTTGCTGAAGACAACCTGTCCAAGAGCATGAATTACTGGAACCATGTCCTGTGGTCTGATGAGACTAAGATAAACTTGTTTGGCTCAGATGGTGTCCAGCATGTGTGGCGACGCCCTGGTGAGGAGTACCAAGGAAATTGTGTCTTGCCTACAGTCAAGCATGGTGGTGGTAGCATCATGGTCTGGGGCTGCATGAGTGCTGCTGGTACTGGGGAGCTGTGGCTCATTGAGGGAAACATGGATTCCAGCATTTACTGTGACATTCTGAAGCAGAACATGATGCCCTTCCTTCAGAAACTGGGCCAAACGGCAGTTTTCCAACATGATAAAGTGGCCAAGCATGTCTCCAGACCTGAACCCTATTGAGCACCTGTGGGGCATCCTTAAGCGGAAGGTGGAGAAGCGCCATGTGTCTTAACATCCAGCAGTGGAAGATGATCCCAGCAACAACCTGTGCAGCTCTGGTGAATTCCATGCCCAGGAGGATTAAGGCAGTGCTAGATAACAATGGTGCTCACACAAAATATTGACACTTTGGACACAGTTTTGACATATTCACTTAGGGTGTACTCACTTTTGTTGCCAGTTATTTAGACAACAATGGCTGTATGTTGAGTTATTTTTAGAGGACAGTAATTCTGTACTGCTATACAAGCTGCACATTGACTAGTCTAAAGTATATCCAATTTTCATTTCTATAGTATTGTCCCTTGACAACATATAATAAAATGGTTGCTGAAATGTGAGGGGTGTACTCACTTTTGTGAGATACTGTATGTGACCCGTGCTGGCAAAATGAGTCACAATGAACACATTTTCAAAAATGAGTTATTGTGAGTTTCACATTCTCCATTAAAAATCCTTAAAAAAATGACTGAGCTACACCTGTTTGAAGTCGATAGAGTCAGCAAAGTCAGTTTTGAGAAAAATCTAGTAAAGTTTTCTGAAGGTTCCAAAACAAATAATTCACCTAGCAACCATACCTTAAATTCTCTGGTAATACCACCAAATTCGGCACACACCAATGTATAGGAGATATAAATGTTTTTATGTTTTTTTTATTTCCATTATACCACAATGCACCTTGCGGGGTGTTTTGACCAATCACAGAAGATGTCACTAGAGGTGTCAAATCTTCACTTGCCTCACGATTCAGATTCAGAGAGTATCGATTTGACTATTAAATGATTCTCGATGCATCTTTTCCTCCAATTCTTTTCTTAAAGGGCTAGTTCACCCAAAAATGAAAATTAGCCCATAATACTCACCCTCAAGTCATCCTAGGTGTATATGACTTTCTTCTTTCAGACGAATCCAGTCGGAGTTATATTAAAAATTGTCTCAAAGACAATTTTTAATATAACTCCGACTGGATTCGTCTGAAAGAAGAAAGTCATATACACCTAGGATGACTTGAGCTTGAGTAATTTATGGGCTAATTTTCATTTTTGTGTGAACTAACCCTTTAAAGAGCAGGTCATATGGGGCTTTCGAAAAATATATATTTTTTTGGTTTGTAACATAGCTATCCTTTAATGTAAACAGTCTGCAAAGTTGTTAATCAAAAAAGTGCATGATAAATAAAGATATTGTCTCTCAAAAGAAAGAGTCGACTCTGAACCGCCTTAACGAGTCG